AATAATGGAATAGTTGCTGAAACATGTTTCAAAAGATTGGCTCCAGTCACTTATTTAAAAAGCATTTACCAAATAAGTTCCTTCTTGATTTTGAGATGTATATATATACACACACATACACAAAGTATGTATGCATCAGGAGTGGGTTCTACTTACTTTTACTACCGGTTCACAATGGGGCTGCGTGTGCGCGCTTTGCTTGCGCAGAAGCATTTTGATGACATCAGGGTCAGTAAAACCGGTTTTACTACTGGTTCTATAGAACCGGTGCGAACCAGGGGCAACCCACCACTGGTATGCATGTACACGCACAGAGAGACATTACAAAGTTCTGTCCTGTTATAGAAACCTAGTTCCCTTTTTGAACAAACTATTGTAGAATTAACTGTTAAACCAATTTCATTAGAACTATTTAATCATTTCATATTTACATGCCACATAAATATGTTTTAAGATCACCACACAAATACTGTATGCATATTGGACTGATCAATATTTAAAATCATAAGGTTAAAACTCTTTCACAAGTTGTATAATACAGCCATTCTTTCATTTCTTTTTTTAAAAAATAGTTTCATTCAATTACAGAGTGAAATCACCCTAAGAGGTAACAAAAAAGAAAGAACACATGCCTGGCCTCATTGAAAATTCTCCATATTATTTTGCCTATCCTGATGGTTTTCCAATCGCTTCGACTATAATTCCCATCAACTCCAGACAGCATAGGAGAATTAGAAAGTACCAGGTTTGGAAATACTGAAAACTGTATTTTTTTCCCCTCCCTATGGAACTATGAAATTCATATATTTGAAAATAAGGAGAGTTTTAATCTTGATTTGTATGTATGTTCCTGTGAGATGAGGTCCAAGAAATTCATTACTTCTACAGCATCCCCTGCTGGCTGTTTCAACTTGTTAAGCCTTTATTTTCCCACTGAATATAAAATGAGAATTTGAAAGTTGTCACACGTAGGGAATGAGAAAGGAACTACAGGGCAAGACAGTGGAAAAACAGTGTTAATGAAGCTCTATTGTTCTGTCCCGTGCCCTTGGATCTGGAGCTCAATTAAGCTGTAGCTGCACAGATGTAGTTTGAACATATTATTAACTTCCAATTCCATTTAAATCTCACTGGCAAGGATCTATTATCCTATTTTCATTTGATGGCACAGAATCCAGCATGACAGCAAAATGCACTGTCAGAGGGACATTTGGTTCATGCAGGATTGCTTTGGATATTGGCCATAACTTTACTCTGTCATAAGGAGCTCCTTAAGTTGCACTGCCTAATGCAAGCTATCTAGAGAATTGCACTATGAACCATCTTAAAGCTTTTCATAAGCCCCTTCTAAAGAGAAGAATATATCTGTCATTATTCAGCCTTCTCTAACCTAATTCTCTGTTGCCCTGGCTGAGCAAATGATTGGATTTGTGATCCAGCACATCTGGAAGGCTTGAAGACTTCTACTATGTTGATTCCTTTAATCACAGATGTGGGAAAAGGTATTCAAATATTATACAAGTGAAATTTTCTCTTTGAGTGAGGAATGGAGCAAAGAATTAGATTTTCTCGCTCCACTCATCCCCAACAAAAACAGAATATGTTTCTTGTTGAATACATATTTAATTCTTATATAATTTAGATTTTATGTACTACTTAGCCACTTAATCATACCATGCTGCCTTTTACTACTCTCACATTCCCCATGAAGAGATTTTTGAGATTGTAATTATTAGACTTCTCAACCAAGATGGAAACTTTAGAAGATGCTCTTCTGTAGGTACTGAACATGAGGAGAGACAGAAAGAGAAATGAAAGAACTAATGTAGCTAAGAAGTTAAGGATAACAGGAAGCAATTTTTTATTAATTTACTTAAACTATATTTAAAAGCTGGCAGTAAGTGGGAGGAATAATCCATTACTTTTTGGCACTGACAGTGAGATTTAAAAAAAGATAAATTTTAAGGCTGAAGCTAATATTAGTAGTATTTTTAAAAACTGCCTTAAGGCTACCTATTTCACTAAGACAAAATTATGTATAGTGATATATAAATCTATATATAGATAAATTGAATCCAGACATACATATTTATTGTCTTATAGAAGGATTATAACAACATGTTGACTCCAATCTGCTTTTTTAAAAAAAAATTGATTTATATGTCGCCCTTCTCCAGAGACTTTTGATGATGTTACGTTTTAGTAATGGTTTTCCCTGCCTCTTATTTAATTATAATTATATTTGCAGATATTATTTGATTAATAACTTGTGATCTTATTAAAAGTTTCACAAGGCACCAGCAGGGAGAACCATTGAAAAGCAAAAATGACAATATATTACACCATTAACATTAGCATTGTAATCTTCCCTTCTATCTTTCTCCTCCCCCTTATCTCATCTGTGCTGAATATTTTTCTGTGTTAAATATGATACTTTTCTCAGAGAGACTTGTTTTCTTGTTACTCATAACATGTCACCACACACTGACAGGGCTATATTACTATTAATTATAATTAGAACACCAGCTCCACCTTGGCTGATAAGGTGGGTTGACAGTCTCTGTGTCAGCTGGATCGCCAGCATGGGGTTTCCCTTTGATGCTTGCTTGCTATCGGCTGCCATAGTAATGGGGAGGGGGGGGCATGGCATTGGGGTTTAGGAAGTGTGCTGGTGTGATGAAAGCCCATGTGAACTAAAAGGGAGGTTTGCTCTCCAGAATTACTGCGCTGCTGAATGGAGTTGTTTACACCCAGTCAAGACCAACTGTCCTAGAACTCCAAATGGACGAAAACACCTGAAGATATGCCCACATGACACTATGCGGGACATGGATTGGACATTCAGCCTGGGTCCCTGGGGGGAGGAATTTGGGGAAACTTTCAATATGTAACTTTCGCGCCTTTTGGCTTAGATCCTGCTTTTCTTTCACTGCTATCTTTCAAATTCAGTAAAAGTACTTCTTCTCTACTTCAATGGAGTCGGGGTTTTTCTTTCTTCAGTTTTGAACGGAGGCAGGCCTGACATTCTGAAATAAATTGGAGTACTTCCTGTCTTGACATTCTTTGGGTTCAAGAAAGATTTTTGGACTTTGAAAAGTGGCGTCCCTTTCACCTGTAGATGAACTCGGCCTTTTTTGTTTGTTTATCTGTCTGCTATTGACAGGATAGTGACAAGGTGTTGAGTGGAGTGAAAGTACTTGTTGCTATCTGTTTGGCCGCTGTACTGGAGAGTCATTGAAGGGTTTATTGCTGAATCAACATATTTTGAATTGGACATTTTGCTTTCAGATTACACTGCTAAGAAATTTGGGGAACTCCTACAATTTTAATTTGCTTTTCGTGCCCCTTTATGAAATGTACAATTTGATATTTAGTTATGAACTTTGATTTCTGGAGCAATCTAGATTCTCTGACTTCTGGAAGTAAAGTAGGTCAATAGGTCATTAGAGATGAATTATGATTTTTAAATTCCTTCAAATTATGATCTGATAGGTATGGGCTGGGCTCGTGCTTTATGCTAACTCATAAGATTTGTTTTGTTGAGTGAACCTAATCATTATGATTATAAACCATGGCTTATGGCTTAATTTGTACAAACGCAATCAATTGTAGTTTATTGAAATCATCATGACTAAATTAATCATTAGTACTAGGCGTAAACTCAAAGTAAGTATAACAAAATATTTCTGAAAAATCAGCCTGAATTACACCATGACACATCACCACTTCTTAGAGAACACACACTAGGAAACCTGTGGAAAAGTTCCCTAAACTACAACTGGACACTATCAAAATACTGAAATAAATCTCTCTGAATCCAATGCAGTTGCCAGTTTGGCATGTTCTATAAGGTCAAAGATGGACTGGTCTAAACAGAGCATATAATTAAGAATATAGTAGTCACAGACAGCAGCCTTAGTGCAGATATAGGGATGATGGGTGCCTCTCCCTTGCTAACTCTTTTTAAGCTCAGTCAGAGACTAAACATCTCAATTTGCCATGAGAAAAACTGTAAATAACAGAAGATGAAGAGGAAGAAGCAAGTTCAATATTAATTAAATCCTTTCGTTATGTACTGACAGCAATTTCCTTTTCTTTTCTTTTTTAAATGCTCATCTGTTCATCTGTGAATATGTCCAGCAGCTACAAAGTCCCTTTGCAGAAATAGCTCTCATTATATTTTAGAAATGGTAAAATAGGACTTTTACCACTTTTATGGTGACCTTCCTTTCAAGAAGTGCTAGAGTAAAATAAAAAAAATGCTTTGAAATTAAATTTGAAAGCTTGGAAAGATATTTGACCGCCTTTAGAAATAAGTACAATTACCCAGTTCCTCTGGTGGGTCTTTGGAAAAGAAGATAAGAGCTGGCTAGCTTTTGCTCATGTCCAGTTCTACCCAAAACTTATCTGAAGTAAAAAAAAAAAATCAACATCCAATCCTAGTGGAATTTATCTTTTATATTTCTATAGGTAGTTCTTGACCTACAACTGGAATTTCCATTTTGTGTCATGACAGTCATAATTCAAGGCACCCACATGACTGGCTCAATTTTTTTCTGGTGGTCATTAAGTGAATGCAGCAGTCATTAAGTGAATGACACTTAAATGAATCCATTGGCTATGATGAGAAGTAAACATTGGTTTCTGGCAAAAAATGTTACAAAATTGCAGTTAAATGACTATGGGATGCTGTAAATGACCATAAATTCATTTATTAAATTTTCATGCTGCCATTTCCCCTATAACTGACTCTGTAGGCCAGTTGCCAAATGCGCAATATGCATTTGTGTGACTGCTTGGGGGAGGCCATTGGACCTTCAAATCTTGGTCATTAGGGGGGTCTGTCATACCTTCAAATAGTCAGTAAAGGACGGTTGTAAGTCAAGGACCACCTGCAATTTGAAGCTCTTTTTATTTTCCATTCCTCTAATGACATTCAACTACGTAAGTTTTTAAAAGTCTACAGTAACCGTGAACTTGGTAGAATCATATGGACTTACATTGCAATTGGAAGAAACATCAAATGTCGGATAAGGACTATCAGACCATTCAGATGCATCCATGTTTCCTGATTGCCGATGTTGAGCTTCATATTCCTTAAGCTGAAATGAAAATAAAATAAAGAGTAATCCCTCAATTTTCTCACTTGCTAAAAGTATATTTACCGGTATTTAGTTTAATTTTTTGTATAAGCAAAGAATTATTGGAGAAATTAAAGCTCCGTTATTATCAGTGCAAAACAATTGTGAAGATATCTTTGTTCTTTAGATTTTTACTTAACTATTTATATTGCTTATTAATTAATAACAAAAGAAAAAAGAGCAAACCTTAAAAATGATAGTGGCAATGTTATATACATTGTCAAAAAGAAGGAAAAATATATAAAAAGTGCTCTATCAAAAAAACTAAAAAATACAAGAAAAGACATATGATATGTCATTACAACAATAAAGTTATAATTTTTATATACTTGTCTAATGCAAATATTATTCAAGTATGTATATATTTCTAATACATTTATATCACATCTTTTTTTTAACCTACTGTACAAAAGAACTTTTGTTGTTTAGACTATTTTGAAAAAATTACACCTCCAAACACACATGTGCATGCACACACCCATGTGCGTGCGCACACACGCACAAACCAATCTGGAAACTTAATTCTCAATAGAGAAAGAATTTTATATAAATAGGAATTTTAGTTATATACTGTATTATTGCCGAGCTGAAAATAGTCTTGTCTAAAATTTCATCCATTGTGAAGATATTTTGTATAAATGTAATACATATAGTATCTTTTTATTGTTCCGATTAACATTAAAGAATAGAATAAATGTTTCCAGGTTTTTTTTTTCCCCCATTAAGACCTTTACCTTAGAAATGTGTTCATTCAGGATTCTGTTCCTTGCTTGGAGAGGAGAGAAATGTCTATCCATAAAATCAGCTATTTAGAAACTCCCTGTATTTGTTTGATTCTCATAATTACGGATGCTATGCACAAGAGTCTGTGATTCACTGATGTAATCAGGCCTATCGTTTATCCCTAGCATATATAATGTATTTGCATTATGTACCCTTGCAAGAGCTTCCTCAATTGTAATCATCTTCTCCTTGACCATCATCATTAACTGGATCCGCTCCTCGTCACTCATTGTGATTTCACTTGCCACATAACCAACATCTTCCCCTGGAGAGAAATAGGAAAGATGAAAGAATAAAGGTATTTCAATACAAAAGAAATATGAGTCAAGCATGATAAGGCATGATTTTCCCAGTGAATTTGCCATGCTTAATCATGCTACTTAATTCCCCACTTATTCACATTTCAACATCTTTATTTAAGTTTTGAAAACTGCAATGATCTTAACATTTCAGAATGAGAATGACACTGGAGATAGGAAATTGCTATTTTTAACTCCTCTGTATGGAATGCTTCATTTGATGTGTATATGATTTGCAATGATTCAGGAAAATAATGATGTTTACGTGACATTCAGAGAATTATTGAGGATATTATGTTAATATCATGTTATGACATCACTTTGCTCAGTATGCAATTTTTTTGCCAAATCTGAATATGGAAACTATGCAAATTGTCTGGGATGCTTGACATTATGACAATTTTATCAACATTACAACACTAATAGGTTTAGCATCTTAGATTCTAACATCTAGTGATTGATATCTTGTATGAAAGATGTAAATTTTATAAAATTGGAACTATTTAAGCAAAGGTGCTAAACCAAAGCATGTTTTAATAAAATTGATCAAGGGTTATTACCCAATTTATACTTTTGAAGGCAGCCATATGGAAGAGAGGATGGACTACTTTATTTTATCAAAAAAATTGCATGTTTCCTAAAACTGCAAATATGTTTTTATCTATGACATTCAGACAAAGTCACCTAAGATGCCATTGGTTCATTAAAATAATAAAATCAATATAGAATTATCAAAGCTGAAACTACTATAAACTGAGATGATGAACAAAAATAACAAAATATGTGTTGTGACATGACAACACAACACAAATACTGGTTTTTCATATTTGGTTGCAACTATATAAATCAGGACTTGCTTTATAAAGTCATAATGCACATTTTATCAGTTGCCCTGATCCTACCCTGGGAATGTCTATATGACAGTGTCTGCATAATAGAAGTAGAGAACCATTAATTTTGTGGGCTTGACTTAAGTTCAGACACTCCCTGATTAAGTTGACCCTTCCAATGGAAGAGTACTAAAGGACTTTTTTTCCCCAAGAGATCCAACTTGTGAATAGTGGCATAATGACATTTATAAAAAGAGCCTTGATAGTACAGTGGTCTAAGCACCCTGTTATTAACACAGCTGCCTGCAATTAATGCTGGTTCAAATCTCGCCAAGGCTCAAGGTTGACTCAGCCTTCCATCCTTTCTAAGGTAGGTGAAATGAGGACCCAGTTTGTGGGGGCAATAAGCTGACTTTGTATAAATATACAAAAAGGATGAAGGCTATTGCTTAACGCATTGTAAGCCGCCCTGAGTCTCCGGAGAAGGGCGGCATATAAATCAAATTAAAAAAAAAAAAGAGCTTTATCTCATGATAATTCAGCATATAATTGTTCTATGGGATAAACAAATACCTAAAGCTTTGCTCAGGGTTAATAAGTGACAGTACAGTAGATAACCCAGTTTTCTAATACTTTGGAACTCATTGAACACAGAGCATTGTAAAATAATTATAACCATCCTTGCTAAAGATTAAAGCGAGTACATAAATCCTGCTTACGGGCCCAATAGCTATATAAACTTTCTTTCCCAATTTAATAATGAAAAAAAAAAGAACTTCATTAAAATTTTTACCTTTTGAAGACTGCCTCATTAGTCCCTTCTGATTCTTTCGGAAGTTTTGCCAGAAGTATTTATTCTTCTTTTTCCAATCTACTTTACCTAAAGATTTTAAATATATGATTTAAAAGATTTTAAATAAGAAAAGAAAATCACTATCATCATTCAGTTCCAAAAACAATATCAGTTTTAAATGAGCTGTCATAAATATTTATTATATTTGAATAAGGAAAGCTATTAAAATATTTTTAATAAACAAGTAACACATAGGGTTTCTTTTTAATGAAGCTATATCTCTGCAGTCATTTTTGCAAATTCCAGTAGTTTTGAACCATTAATTAAAATCTAGATTAAAAGTCTACAATATATTCTGCTTTGTGTTTACTATTTTGAAATGTCATTTACAAACTGGTGATGCTCAGCATTTGATTAAGGTTCACTTTCTGATTTTCTTTATTAAAGCAAATACAGAGTTAAAAGGAAACCCAAAGGCTATAGAATATTTCGTTTCAAGCAGGAAAGACCTTTGCAAAAAAAAAAAAAAAGGAAAAAGCCAAGGCTATGGAAAAGAACAACTGGCACCCATAATTTAGGGAAAATCAGAATATGGTCAACAATTAAATAAAAACACCTCCTATTCTTCTCGGTTTAGTATGACTCACTATAACTGATCATAGACATAAGGAAACACCAAAGGCAGTTCTTGACTTATGACCACAATTGAGCCCAAATTTCTGTTGCTAAGAGAGACAATTGCTAAGTGAGTTGTGCCCTATTTTATGACCTTTCTTGCCACAGCTGTTAAGCTAGTAACACAGTCGTTAATTGTCTCTCTGCTTCCCCATTGACTTTGCTTATCAGAAGGTCATAAAATGTGATCACATGTCCCTGGGACTGTGCACCCGTCATAAATATGAACCAGTTGTGCCAAGCATCTGAATTGTGACCATGTGGATGCTGCAAGAGTTGTTAAGTGAGAAAAATGGTCATAAATGAATTTATTGTTTTGAGAATCATGAATTTGCATATATTTAGTTACGGCTTTTTCAAAACAAAGCCCTCCCCCCCCCCAAAATAAATAAATAAATAAGAGGAAGCATACTGACCAACTGCACTTTCTTCAGAACTTGATTTATGAAGAGAGAACCTAAAACATAAAAGAGAAAGAGATTTATATCTGCTGCTCCATGAATGCTGGGTGGCTTTTAATTAATTAATTAATTAATTAATTAATGTTTGCAGACTAGCATATCCCCTTCCCCTCTTTTTTTTCTTATGAAGCCAGGAGGAAGATACAGCATCTCAGCTTCAGCTTCATGCTCATACAATGGCATGAGCTCAGCTCCACTGAGAAATGCTTTGAAATGATCTTCTTGTGACCAATGCAGAAAAATATGTTATAGAGGACAACAATGTTAAAGTTGTGAGGTCAAAAGGGGAAATGAACTGAAGGAAGTCTTCAGCTCTTCCAGCTCCCTCCACTGTCTGGCACAAGAGACAGACAGAAAACTTCCTAGGAAAACACCATTTTACACATGTAGTTCCAATACACAAATCTTGTGGGACCATCTACATTTCCAGCTATCCACTGAGCAATGTGAGGAGTTACTTAACAGGTAAATCAGATGGCTCCCCAGCTGAATCTTTTAGCTGTCTGACAAAGTTCTTCTGTTTGTTTGTTTCTCTCTCTTCTGTGCTTAATTTACCTTTATTAAAGAGACAACAACCTTTCCCATATCATATTAAGATAGGTACAGTATTTGATAGAGATAAATAGTCCAGAAAGACCCTCTGCCATTATTTGGCTGTATTTAAATTGCAATTCATAAGCAAGCTTAAATTTCCCATTTTGCTTTCTATCAATCTACCAAAAGTAACGATCAGTTGTATAGAAAAACTATGCACATAAATCAAACAGAAAACATTCCACACAGAAAACAGGATCCCGTCTTCATTACAAAGCAGCATTGCATTTGTTCTGTTGCTTCATATAATAATAATAATAATAATAATAATTTTATTTCTATACCGCCCTTCTCCCGAAGGACTCAGGGCGGTGTACAGCCTATTTAAAAACACAGAAACAAAACAACAATTAAAATTTAAAATCATTAAATAATTAGGCTCCAATTAAAATCCCAGAAATTTAAAATACCCCAATTTAAAAACGTTATGTTAATAGCCCGGCCTGGCGGGCTATGTGCTTTATGATTAAAAGCAAACAGATTGGGATAGCAATTGTCATATTTCTAGAAAACAAGATGGAAATTTTACTTCAAACATACACAGAAGCTGCATTATATACTTTGACCTATGCTTTTGAGTTTGCAAACCATCCTGGTGTGCAGTTTCTAAAATTAGCAGTGGAGGGCAGTGCGTAGTCTTTAATCATCTCTGAAAAGCTCCAAGAAGAAATTAAATTGTGCTTTGTTTTAGACCTGTCACAATCCCTGTCAATGATCCAAATGATTAGAGGCCAACTGTTTATAAGCATGAAAAACATAATCATCAATTTGTAGGGGACATCATGAAAGGGAAAACGATAGCAAGAAGTTAAATTCTGATTCAGTAAATTCATCCAAGCAGAGGCAGTAACTGCAGTGCCTGGACATGGCAAATCATCTTTCTTTAGCCTGATTAGAAATTTAATCGGCACCAGCCGGGCAGCCAATTGACACACCAATTCCAGATCAGGGTGTGCACCAGGTGCATACTGGAAGAAGGCCATTGCTTGTTTCCTGACAGATGCAGTTTACACTCAGGACAACAGCTTGCAAAAAGAAAATTGATAGTTTGGTTAGATTCACAGCACCAGCAGCCAAGGATCTGATTTTTCAAAAGAACTCAAGAAATACAGAAGATATCACTCACTTACTCTCTCTCTCCCCCGCCTCTTTTGAAGCATAGATCTAATAACAATTTCTAAACCACCAAGCAGTGTTTCAGTCAAGTTTGTACAGGAACCTAGAAGAATGCACTTAATCACTTAATATATTTATTAGAGCGACTAACAAAAAAAGAAAGATAAAAGCTTAGGAGCAAAATGCTTTGGCTTCCAGCTTCTTCAGCTGTTTTAAAGCAAGATTCTTTTTATGAGCAGCTGAAGTGAATGGAAGCATTTGGCTTTTGAATTTGAATATGTGTGCACGTGTGTGTATGAAGGATGGTGGTATATGCATGTGTATGTGCATATAGACACACTCACTTCAAGAGAGATTTTATTTATTTATCTTACTTGTTTAGCCACCCATCTCATACGAAAATGACTCTGGATGGTGTACAGTATCACTTTAATTAAAGTGAAACAATAAATACATTAAACAACCACAGTTAAAAACTATTAAAAAGAGACAATTAAAAAGGAGAGGATGATATGAACAGCGGTAAGGGAGCTATCACAAAATCTCCCCAGTCTCTTGGAACGCCCAAGCCGGATATCATATCCAGGTCTTGAAAGACTTGTGGGATGTTGAGAGTGGTGGAGATAATCTTGCTTTGGGTCAGAGAAGATTCCACCAGGCAGGGGCTGTGACAGAGAAGTCCCACCTCTTGGGATGAAAGGTGCACGGAACCCACAACATGTCTTCGCTGTTCGACCTGATGAGGCAGACAGATGTAATTGGGGAGAAGCAGTCCCTCAGTTAACCTGACCCTAAGCTATTAAGAGTTTTGAAGGTCCAAACCAACTCCTTGAATTGGATCCAGAAGCAACAAAAAAGATATTGAGAGTCTAGAAAGAGTACAGAGAAGAGCAACGAAGATGGTTAGGGGACTGGAGGCTAAAACATATAAAGAACAGTTACTGGAATTGGGTATGTCTAATTTAGTGAAAAGAAGGACTAGGGGTGACATGATAGTAATGTTCCAATATCTAAGGGGCTGCCACAAAGAATAGGAGTCCACCTATTCTCCAAAACATCTTAAGGCAGGATGAGAAGCAATACATGGAAACTAATCAAGGAGAGAAGCAACCTAGAACTAAGGAGAAATTGCCTGACTGTTAGAACAATTAATCAGTGGAATGACTTGCCTCCAGAAGTTGTGAATGCTCCAACACTGGAAGTTTTAAAGAAGAGATTGGACAATCGTTTGTCAGAAATGGTATAGGGTTTCCTGCCTGAACAGGGGGTTTGACTAGAAGACCTCCAAGGTCCCTTCAAGACTCTGCTATTCTGCAGACTGGCAACAATGCAGTTTGCAAAGCAGATTAGCCCTTTCTTCATTTATTTATAAAAGTGTCTAAACTTGGAAAAGCTTGCCAGTTCCTGAAGTAGATTTGGATCTCTTTAGTAAAATAGTAAATGACATCAGCTCTGGAGAGGTATTTTTGTAGGTCTTTGTAGTGTTTAATTTCTTATCCTTATCTGCAAAACTACCTCATGTCAACATGTCTCTGCCTTTATTTTGCACTTTCATGTAAGCGTATCAATCGAAGCTTCTCCTTTTATTCTTGAAAAGGAAGCAGACTTCAGTCACTCACAAATACTCTGCTTCTCTTTTTCTTAGAAGTGGTGTGTCTTTTTCAAACACATAAAAACCACAATGCCCAGCTTTTCCAGTTATGCAGGTATGACTATATAAACAACTGTAAAAATGGCACCATAGGCAAGAGAAAGACACCAAATAGAAAACATGTTCACAAAGAATAGCGTAAGACTATTTGCACACTTTATAAATGCAGCAATGTCTTATTATGAAAAAGAATATATGAACCGTTCCCAGGAATTATGCAGTTTTGGTTGGCTTCTTTGTTTGTATTACTAAGAGTGAAAAAAATATAATACACTTATCTCAAAATTTATTCATAAATACATTTCAAAGAATAGTGAGTTGACCTTTTGAGAACTGAAAAAAAGCCTGGAAAAGTTCACAGACAATCCCAAATCTTCTGGACTCAAAATCTTAATAAAGGTTTTTTTTCTCCCTGTCTCAAGTATTCACTATCTTAAGTAGCTTAGAAAAAAAAAATGAATGCAAATAATTTTTCCTTTCTACCTTTCTTCCTTTCATTTAAACACATAGACTTTTGAAGGTGTTTTAACTTTAAAGAAAAGCAGGAGAGAAAGGGATTATTTCTCAATGGAGTTATGCACAAAGTTCAAGGGTATAAAATTAGAAGTCCCCAAAGTCTTCAGAAAGCAACCTCAGAAATGCTGCCAAATTATCGTTTTATCAAGAGAGAAAGCAGATAGAATCAAATACATGAAGAATAAGCATATTAATTGTATTAGATTAGGTCCAGGGAGAGACTCAGTCATGAAACTTCACTACGGTATGTGACTTTGAGCCAGTCATCCAACGAGGTTACTGTTGTGAGAGAAAACTGGAAGAGAAAATATTATTTATCTCTACCACCTATAGCTTCTGGAGAAAAAAGCAAGATATAAATCTAACGAATATAATAAATTAAATTATATTTTACTTAATTATACATTAGATCTAATTTAATATCTCCCCTAAATTTAGTTTTAAATTTTTAGTTTTTCAAGGTTAGCCTCCAGGCACATTAGCTGAAAGCCAAGCATGTCTCTCAACCTGAAATACGCAGCCCACTCTACTATAAATTAAAGATGCCATATCTCTTTTCTGCGTTCTGTGTGAGCTTGAAAAAAATTGCTGCCATTTTAAGAATTGCTTAAATGAACCAGTTGCTTAAAATACCTATATTTTTTTTTTCAGATTCATTTGGAAACACCTGCTTTAATAACTAGTGGAGAATTGCTCTCTTGAATTCCAGAACAATTCTGAATCATCATAGGGAATATATAATTCTATGACAATGTTCTAACTGGTGGACTACCAAAGAAATTATTCACAGCACTTTAACAATTATATTAGGAAATATTTGGTATTAAGAGGATGGAAAAAAGCAGACTGGACTTCAACTCTGCACCCTATAAAGTAAGGATCTTGTTGCTGAGCTGAGCTGAGATGGGAACTTCAACTCCTTAAATACATGAGAAAAAAAAATTATGGTGCCCAAGAATGGCCTTCTTGTTTGATTTGACAATTACACTGTTCTGTGTGGAACCTGCATCTTCTTCATGAATGTATATGGGACATAATTTGTGTTCTTCCATTCATAGACTAACTCGCTCTGAAACTTAATGATGCAGTCACACTTGGCAGTAGTTCTGATGCTGCTAT